GACTTCAATCCAACTCCTTTTGGCTGCCGCTGCTCCTGCCCCTGCCACAAGGGAGTTACTGCTGGGAAAAGGCCTGGTGCTGAAGAAGGCCTCCTTGTTCTTGCTTGGGATGATGCCCATGCTCCACTTTTAGCTCAGACGGCAGAAAAGCCCCGCCCTGGGCTTCCCGAATGGTCAGTTTACAGTCTCGTGCTCAGCCACGGTCTTTGAAGGCCACTCCAGGGGGAACCGGGGTCACTAACCCCTTGTGTTGAACCTGGGCCCTGAGACCCATCATCACCTGTCCTCATGGTGAGTTTCCCTCTGAGACCCTGCCTGCACCGATCCTCATTTGGAACAGCCTCAGTCCATCAGAGGTGCTCTTGTGATACCGAAGGTCAAAAGCCCTGGGGCCAGGGTCTGGGTTGCTTTTGTTCTGGGAGGCTCCGAGGCCCTTATGCAGGTATGCCCACCTGTCCCCAGGCCAGCTCTGCAGAGCAAGGAGCGATGACCTTGAACACTGGCTGCCGCATCCTCAGAGACCATTATGTGGCCCCACAATGCTCCCAGCGGCATCACTCCTCTGATGTGTCCTACCTGGCTCCCACTGGGGCAGAGGGCCCCTCTGTGGTCAGCCTGGAGCTTGCACTTGATTCCACTAGCAGTTCGCTCGTGCCCTAACTCCCTTGCTACGTTGACCCCCTCTGGGAAGCTCCCCATTTAGACTAAGGCTCCTTCAAAGCCCAACCCATGTCCCCAGGCTCCAAGTGTGGGTTGGCAGAGCTCAAATGGTGAGGTGAGCTTTGCCGGACCCTCAGGTTGACACAGATGTGGCTGCATCCCAGGCAGGTACAGATAGCCTCCACCCCCAGCCCCGCCCCCACCAAGACCTGAGCAGGAAGTAGGGAAGGGGGGGGGGTCCGGTACGGCTGGAGGAGAAGGGTTCTCCTCTCCCCTCGCTTTGCTCTTGTTTATATCCTATCCACCTCTCACTGATTGGGACATACATTGAGTTGCTTTGTATCCCCCTCCCCTAAGCTCTGCTTAGGCCACTTGCTTCTTCCTGAGCTGGAGGGGGCCACCTCTTCCCTCACGTCTACATAGGATACAGAAAACACATTTTGTTAAAAGCTAAGTTGGAGGTAGGGCAAGGGGAGATCAAGTAATTTGAAACATCTTTCTCAAGGCAATACCTTGACTTGCGAGGCTGTTTTTTTTCTCCATAGAAGTTGAATGGCACCTAGATATTTTTCTTAATTTAACTTTCTGAAACAAATCCTAAAATATCCCCCAGCAGACAGAGCACAGACTAAGGTGAAAGTTCAAGTTCTCATTCATATTTTTTAAACTAATCGTATACTTTGCTACTCATCCATTCCTCACATACAAATACAAAGTTCTCGCTCAAAAGGAAAAAAAACCCTTTTGTTTGGCTCTTTGAGGAAAAGAACTGAGATCTTCTCTTTGTTTCCGTCTTCATATTTTCTGAACCCTGAATGAGTCGAACAAATGATGGAATCTGTTGGGGGCAGCCTTTTCTTCTCTCATCCCAAGTGCTACTGTCTCTGCTCCCTTTCTGGCCCCCCTTGTAGCCCACACAGCTGTTCTGCATATTGCAGAAGAATGTGGGATAGCTACCTGTGGTCATCTACTGCGCATGTGTGTGCTCCTGTTTCCCCCCCAGGACACGATGCCAGCATCTCAGGACACAACACACTCCCTGCAGTGGCCAAGGGGACGCAAATGGGTGGGTCAAGCACTCTCTTGCACTCTGCCATCCGGACGTTTGCTTGGGAGATGATAAAGTTGCATTTCTTCATACCTGCTTGCGTTTACTGAGTATTTATGGAGAGAAGGCTCACAGAGGAAACTGAGTCCCTTGCTCTGTCGGCCTCCCCCCGTATGGATGCAAGACTCCCACTCAGAACAGAGTACCATAACAATGGTGATACAGCAGCTCCATCCTCCCGAGCCTCAGTGGTTGGCTCCCTCACCCCTACCCCCACCCGTCTGCATGGGAACCCACAAGGTCCCCTTTGCCCTACATCCTATCTCTGGCACCGAGTGGCTAAAAGCCTGGGACTTGGCTCCTGAGCAGCCAGTTCAGAATCTGCTTCTGCTACTCACTGGCTGTGTGACTTTTGTTCATCTCTCTGAGCCTCAATTTCCTTATCTATACATTGGGGATTATACTAGGACTCAGCCACAGGGCTCCATAGTGTTTCGTGAGGATTAGATAAGATTGTATTTGGAAGGGGTTAAGTGCAGTCCCTGCCATGCCAGGAGTCAGGGACTCTGGTGATTTTGATCTTTACCTGCCTGGAGTCCATAACCAATTCTGGCTAAAGAGCTATGAGCTGCAGCGGAAAGAGGAGAGGGCATGAGGCTCTGCTTGGGGAAATAAGACTAACCCACGGTGAGAAGAGAGGACAAATAAGAGCTAACTTGTGATACTGGCCACAGAGAAATTAGGGATTAAATAAGAAGAAAAGAGAGGACTGGGTGACCAAGGAGGTCTCAGAGCTGCTAGAGCTGATGTCCAGTGGGACCGAAAGGATCCTCTTCGGGTAAATAGAGGCCGTTCTTGCGAGGCTGGGTTGGGGCTGACTAAGGCTGAGCCGGCCCCCAGCAGACCCAGGTGGTGGGCTCAGAAGATTTGGTACCACCCCAAGGTGGTTTGCACTTGGACTTATTAAGCACCTACTATGGGATCGGCATGCATTTGTAGAATAGCCCCAGTTTCACAAAACATTATTTCGGGAAGTATAAATACATGACTTGCAGGCTTGTTGTTAAATATATACCTAGAGGCTTCCTGGATAGATGTTTGGCAGAGCTGAAAGGCTTACTTGTTCTTCTGTGGTGAGAACCCAATTTAGAAGTTTTTGAGGACAAATCCAGGCTTGGGTTGGTATGATTTTACTCTATAGTCACTGAACTGACCCTCCCTTATTTTTCTAGTCATGCAAATCTTCTTTACTTAGAAAAAAAATATTAGTTACAAGTTGTTTATTTTTTAAAGATGTATTTATTTATTTGAGAGAGAGCATGAGAACATGTGTGCGTATATGGGGGGAGGGGCAGAGGGAGAAGGAGAGAGAATCTTAAGTAGACTCCGCGCTGAGTGCTGAGCCCGACGCGGGGCTTGAGCTCACGACCCTGAGGTCAGGACCCTGAGATCACTACCTGAGCTGAAACGAAGATTCGGATGCTTAACTGACTGTGCCACCCAGGCGCCTCAAGTTGTTTTAATTCAAATATCCATTGCACTTGGTTTTGCGGTTATGCAGGAGAATGGACAATTCTTTGGAGATGCCGCTAAAGCAATTAAGGCGGCTGTGTCTCCATGTCTGGAGCTCACTGTCGAATGTTTCAAATGCAGGCAGGTAGATGGGGACTCGGGCAAAAGAGGAGCAATTGTCGCATCTAGACGGAGGCTTCACGAGCCGTTGTATCTTCTTTCCGTTTTTCTCTCTGTTTGGAAATGGCCAAATAAAAAGGTGGGGAAAGCCCAGCGGAGTCTGGGGGGAAGATGAGGTCAGAGGGGCAACTGTCCCCTCCTGGCGGGTAGTTTTGGGCTCTAGCCCAGGGTCCTTCCTCTTCGTGCCTGAAGTTGGAGAGCATTTCCCCTACACTTCAGGGCTCTTTAAGACTGAGGCGCATTGGGGCGCCTGGGTGGCTCAGTTGGTTAAGCGACTGCCTTCGGCTCAGGTCATGATCCTGGAGTCCCGGGATCGAGTCCCACATCGGGCTCCCTGCTCAGCAGGGAGTCTGCTTCTCCCTCTGACCCTCTCCGCCTCATGCTCTCTATCTCATTCTCTCTCTCAAATAAATAAATAAAATAAAAAAAAAAGACTGAGGCACATTGGCTTTCACTCCAGGCGTCCAGTTTCGGCCCCCCACTGGGGCCACCTCTGTGCCTCTCACTGGCTTCATCCTCAGCCTGTTGGACCTTCCGAGGCGCTACCAGACCCTGGCCTGGCTGCCATGGCAACACAGGAGCAGCCCCTGGGGGAGAATGAGAAAGGATGGAGAGCCTCTTATTTTTAGGATTTCTTGATGTGGGTTCTTTGGGGGGACATGTTGGATAAACCCTGAGAATCCCTGCAAAGCCCTGTCAGCCCCGCGTCTTAGGCAGACATCTGGGAGTCCGCGGGGAGGAGGGGGAAGGACTAGGTCCTTCTCCTTAAGTTTGGCAGGGGGTAGGTATCTGAGGAGACAGGTCTTGTGGAGGAAATATAGTCCCACTGGACTTACTGAGAGATTTACGCCTTCCGGATGGAGTTTCAAGGGTGATTTAAACTGTGAGCTCTTTAGACCTTATTTGCTAACTTTGGACCTAACCTCTGTGAGGCGCCCAATGCCACTGTGTAATAAAGTGGTCAATCATTCATTCATTCATTCCAACCATACCTATCTAGTGCTTATTTTGGGCGCAGTACGGAGCCAGCGCTGGGAACACAAGGGCTCCACCTTGCCTTCAGTCTGCAGATGCCCCAGGCGCTGGGGGAGGAGAGCTCCCTGGGGTGGGGGGGGGGATGGTGTTCAGGGCAGCTTTGTTTGGAGGGGTGGAACAGGGGCAGGTAAAAGAGAGAGGGCTTGAAGGAGATAGAGGAGGGGCCTTTCTTGCAGGGTGGGTGTGGGGGACACCGGGAGTGAAGGCACCATCTGATCAACGTGCATTCTCTGAGCGGATGGAGATTAGTGGGCCTCGGGCAGGCTGGGGAAAAACCTAAAATTAGCCCGACCAGCTGGGCCTGGGCTATGCAGGACCCCCCACCCCCCACCCCGCATGCCCCTGGCCTCCTCGAATTTCAGAAAGCCTGAGTGTGTGCAAGAAGAGCATGCTTTGCCCCGGGTCACCGCTGGCAGAACTGGTCACCTGGGGCTAGGCTGGGCGAGGGGTAGCTCCCAGCAGGGATGTGGTTTTCCCTGTGGGCCCTCCAGTCCTGCAGGGCCAGGCAAGAGGGAAGGGGGAGCCCCTGCCCTTCCCCCTCTCCTTCTTGATACTGCTTCCTCTTTTGCTTCCTCATTCCCCTTCCAGATCTGCAGGCTCTGGCAGTGTGGCCCGTGGTGGGTCAGAACGCTGCCTGGGCCAGCAGGCAGGGCAAACCCAACCTGCGCAGAGGCCTGAGCAGGCACCTTCCTGCAGCACTGGGGGAGGGGCAACCAGAAAACCCCATCTTCACCCACTGTACCCTGTGCCAGCCTCCGTCCTGACCTTGCCTGGAGTTCCCCCAGTTGTCACCCCAAGCAAAGATCAGGTGCTGTCATCAAGCCTTAGAAGTTGTTTGAAAAGCTAATCTTGCCTTAGAAGGCGCTGGGGCTGGTTTGAGAGGTAAGGAGCAGGGCGGCACCGTGGGAGTTGTGGGCGGGGAGGTGGGAGGAGATGGCCAGCCCGGTGGTGGTGGCAGAAGTGGGGGCTGGGGAGCTGGGCAGCCTCTTCGGTGTCCCCCACCCCTTTCCCATGCAGTGTCCATCCCCACCCGCATCAGATGTCCCCAGCATGGTCTTACTTGTGGGCTGACCTGTGTCCCCTCCAATTTCATGTTGAAGTTCTAACCCCCAGTGCCTCAGAACGTGACTGTCTTTGGAGGCAGGATCTTTAAAGAGGGAGTTATGTTCAAATGAGGGTGGGCCCTAATGCGCTATGACTGGAGTCCTTACAAGAAGAGGAGACTGGGATGCAGACACCCATAGATGGAAGATCATGTGGAGACGCGGGGAGAGGACTAGCTACAAGCCGAGGAGAGAGGCCTCCGAAGCAACCACCCCTGCCAACTTGATCTTGGACTTGTAGCCTCCAGGACTGTGGGGAAATAAATTTTGGTTGTTCAAGCCGCCCAGTCTGTGGAGCTTATCATGGTGGCCCCAGCCCACCAACACAGTCCCTCTCCCCAGAAGGCCCTGTCCGGTGTCCTGCCTTCTTATCTCGCTCCACTCTGGGGTCTTCCCTCCTGGGCCTCCAACTCCAGCTTTCGCAGTCTCTGAGACGGCTGCAGATGCAAGCCCTCGTGCCTGTGATGTCTCCTGAATGGCAGGTGTGCTGGAACTTTCTGGAGAATGAAGCACAACTGCACATGGGCCGGAAGGCACCTGGAGGCCCGTGATGAGGACGAGCGCCTGATGCCCTGTCATAAATGGCTCAGCCTGAGCTAACGGCACCAAGAGCCGTCCTTCCCACAGCTGTCAGATCCTGGCAGCCCCCGTGCCCAGCAGCGTCATCCACTGAAGTATTAATTTGGGGTTCCTCTCTCCATGACTGCCTTCACCCCCTTGCCAGCACAACACCTTGCTTGTGTGTCCCAGCCTTGGGAATCGGTGGGACCTAGCACGGCTTGTCTCCGAGAGACCACGAGCCCCGCTCCCCAGCTTCACGTCCCTTCTTTGGCAGAGTGGAGGGGGGAGGACCTTCGAGGAGCAGCGATGAGGGGCAGTCTCCATCCCCCACCCGTTAGTACCAGGCTCGCGGCGTCAGGGAGACGCTGTGGCGAGGGAGGGTGTGTGCGAGATAAGAGAGCGACCGTCTGTAGAATGGGGGCTGTGGACGCGGGCCCACAGGGGCCCCGTGCGTAAGGGGGAGGGAAGGGCACGTTGTCAGAGAAGGGAAAAAAAATCTACCTACCCCTGGCCTGCCCATGCCACGCAGGCCCTCAGGACCCGCAGCGCCAGGCTCTGCTCTCTCCTGGAGCCCTGGCTGCTGCTGGGGGGTGGTCCTGGGCCAGGCTCTGGTCCAGTTCTGGTCTCACCAGGGGCCTGCCGCATCACCCACCCTCGCGGTACTGAGCTCTGCTGAGAACAGTGTGCTGGACACCCACCCAAGGTCTCCTTTTCCCTTCTTCCTACCAGCAGCACCCCGACTGGGGTGGGGGGTAGCCTTGTACCCAGGTAAAATACTTCCTAGGATCCTTTGGAGCTAGTGGTGGTCATGTTGACCCAGTTCTGCCCAATGGAATGAGAGGGGAAAGAGACTCAGCTAGAGTGTTCATCAGCCCTTTACCTCTGACTGCCGACTTCACCCTACGCCTCTCCCCCTTCCCGGAAGATGGATTAGATGCCTGGAGGCACAGCAGCCATCTCTCAACCATGAGGCTAAAAGCCAGGTGCTAAGCGTGCTGGAGGACGAGGGGAGAGGGAGCCTGGCTGACCCGCTGAAGTAGCGCCAACCCTTGACTGCCAGCTCAAGCTTCCTTTTCTGTGAGAGATTAAAAAAAAAAAAATCCCTCCTTTGTTTAAGCGCTTGTGACTCTAGTTTTCAGTCCCCTGCAGCCAAACATGGTCTTAACTGACACACAGCTCTTCCTACACAGCAAGAAGCCCAGCAGAAGCCCAGGAGAGAGGCCTCGGAAGAGACCAACCTTGCTGACACCTTGATCTCGGACTCCCAGCCTCCAGAATCATGAGAAATAACTCTCTGTGGTTTCAGCCACCCATCTGTGGCCCCTTGCTCCGGCAGCCCTAGCACACGCATGGCACAGTTGGGCGGGTTTTTGTACGCACTGTCTCATTCGATCTTAACCACAACCTGGAGAGACAGTACCTACTTCACAGAGGCAAACACTAAGGCCAGGAAGTGCTGATGCGGGAGCCGGAGGAAGGCTACATCTTGGGGTGCTAGCCCCGGTTGCTGACCCATCAGGCCCCCCCCCACCTTATCTGGAGTTCTGTGGGCAATCAGGCCCGTCCTCTATCTGTCCCACTCCCAAACCCACCTCTAAACAGGCCTGTGCTGGCCCCTTGCATTCCAACCTGCTCTACCAGCAGTTTTTTTTTTTTTTTTAAAGATTTTATTTATTTATTTGACAGAGAGAGATAGTGAGAGAGTGAGCACAAGCAGGGGGAGTGGGAGAGGGAGAGGGAGAAGCAGGGTCCCTCAATGTGGGACTCGATCCCAGGACCCTGGGATCATGACCTGAGCCGAACACAGATGCTTAACTGACTGAGCCACCCAGTCACCACCACCCCCCCGTTTTTGTTTGTTTTTTCTAAGATTTTATTTCTTTATTTGACAGTACCAGCAGTTTTGTGCAGAATCCTGCCATCCGAGCTGCTGCCTGGCCCTCCATGGTGCAGTTTCCAATGCTGAGGCCAACGGAGGGAGGAGAAGGAAGACAGCTTTGGGGAAGACGCATTCCCTGAGTGTCCCTCAAGCAGTTATTGCTGGGGCACTGACCCACAGGTCTGCCCAGAGAGGCAGGCTCTCCAAGAGGAGGGTGTGAAGAGCCCACTGTCCTTCAGCCACTGCTCCAAGCCGGAACAGCTATGGCTAACGTTAAGTGAGCTCCTCGCAGGTGCTTGTGTTAAGTGCATGATATAGAGTTTCTCCTTCAGTCCTCTGACCAGCCCTGGTCACTGATATTGTCACCATTTTACAGATAAGGAAACTGAGGCTCAGAGAGCTCAAATGACTCCCCACCCCCCAACAACATTTCCCCGGGAGCTGAGACCATCCCCTCTGTCTGATTACCCCCTTCAAGGCCACCCTGTGCTCATCTCAGCCAGGGTCACAGGGAAGGCAGAGGTGTCCCCTCGTCATCCGTGTCCAGTTGTGAGACACCATGGCCAGTCCACGGCCAGGAACGGGGAGGGAATCCCCTCTCTGTTCCCAGAGGAACAAGGCCAGCCTGGAGACAGTCTGAAGCGAGTACTGGGTGGTGACCTGCCTGTGCTCTGTGACAGTGTGGGGCTGTTTCCCTTTGTGCTGAAAGAACCCTGAGGAGGGGCCTTCTGAGGCTTCAACCATCTGCTCTGCAAGCCTGGCTTCAGGCTTCGCAGCCTGGGACACTGTGGGTCAGAATCTCGGTGAAGGTGAATCAGGGCAGTCCCTTCTCTACTCCTTCCAGAGGGCAGCTCCCGGTGACCTCGCTGCCTCTCCCAGATGTGGGGGTGGCAGGGTCTGGTGGGGGTGGTGTGCACCCCACATCTGATGGGCCTCCATGTGTGTGGGGGGGTGTAGGGATGGAGTGCAGGTGCCCAGGAGCATGACCCTTTCTGCGAGTGGGCCTGCCCCCTGTTGGTAGACCCCGGGAGGCCCACGGGGAGGTGCTTGGCATGGGAAGAGGGCAGTGGTGTCACCGGGCTGGGGCACGGAGGCAGATGGACTGGATGGCCTTGGTGGGAAGCCAGAGGGCATGACAAGGCGGCACGAGGCCACGCCCCCTGGCCCGGTCTGAGGAAGTGGCCAGGCCCCAGCTCCCGTGCCGGACCGCCAAGGCAGGGCGGAGGCCAAGGGCTGTGCCTCCAGGGCCTCCCAAGCTGCAGCCTACAGGGGCTGGGCTGGGCGCTGGCTGATGGAGGAGAGCCGCACGGGAGGGGATGTTCCTCTGTGTCCCAGGGAGGCTCTCTTGGCGGGGCTCTCACCTCCCAACCATGCTTATCCTCCTGTGCCGGCTGGCTTCTGGGCTCTTCTTTAGAAAAAGTAGTATAACTGCCATCCTTTCTGACCCACCCTCCCCATCACCTGCAACCCCTCCAAACCCCTATCTTCACTATCAGCCTCACAACACCCTGTTTCTCATTTCCCAAATGACTCTGCAGTTCTAGAAATTAGGAGCTGCTGTGTTCTGAGAAGGTGCTTTCTGATGCCCCTCATGGCTCTATGGGACGTCTGTGGCTGCTTACAGCAGAAAGGCTGGGACGCGAGGACCCAGGGCCTGAACGAGGACTGGCTCAGCAGGCCCGCTGGTTCCGGAGGCAGCTGGGCAGGCGGCCCTCGCAGGGAGAGTGGGAGGCGTCTGGGAGGGAGCACTGGTGTATTTCTGATCGGGGGTGGGGAGTAGAAGCAGGCGGGTTGGGGGATGTCCTGGGATGGCAGCAGAGGCCCGGCTAAGAATGCTGGGGGTACATCAGGCTGGGCAGAGCCATGCTCCATGGGAGCTGGAGGCTGGGGCAGGAGTTATCCAGGGGCTGTGGGCACCAGGGCTGTGGCAGAGGGCCCCAGGGTCATACCTGAGACCACTATGTAAGGCCTGCTCAGCGCAGGTGCTGTTTGCTCCTCAGCAAGACTGTTGAGATCCCTGGAGTCCTCTGAGGAGGCAGGTGAGCCTCTATCTGTGGGTAGGTGTTCAGGTCAGGATGGGGTCAGAGACAGGAGGACAAGGAAGTTTCTTCTGGAAGAGTCTAAAGAGTGCATTGTTACTGCAGGGGTCTTGAGGGTGTGGTGGGACCGACCCCCAGACGGGGGGCCTGTTGGCCGGAGGAGGGATGCCCAGACTGTGCCGTCTGGTCACCGTAGGGCTGTGGCACAGGCCTGTGGTTTGAACATAATAGCCACTGAGGGGTCAGCTCCCCAGTTTGGGGGCAGAGGCTACCATAGCTCCCTTCTGGGGACCCCTACGCAGCTGAAGGGCTAGTTTCTTCCCTTCACGAAATAGGTCCTTCCAGATGCCCATGAAGAGCCTGACCTGTGCCGGGCGCCCGGGAGAGAAAGGTGAACAACCCCCAGGAGAAGCAAAAAGGCCCAGGCACTCAAAGGAGTCTTTTTTTTTTTTTTTTTTTTTTTAAAGACCCTGAGTGTGGGCTCTAGAGTGGGGCCACCGTGGTGGTCTGGGGTGCCGAGCAAGTGACCGTGAACTGGGCCCTGAGGGCTGTCTGGGCCCCAGACAGGGAGACCAGGAGGCAAGGATGGTGGGAGGTGCATGGGATGGCCCGAGGAGTCACAGTGAAAAGGACAGTAGCTAATAGTAATTAGGGATTAGTAATTGCAGCTCCAGTCACTAGGGGTGTGAAAGCCGATGCTCTAAAGTGCTGGCTCTGGGCCAGGGAAACGGTAGCTATTATCACCACAGAGCTGGGCCCCCAGCAAACTGAAAGGCAGCCTGAGTTTTGAGTGTCAGCCAGCCCGGGTTCAACACCTTTTCTGTGCCCGTGGGCGGAGCTGGGAGCCTGTGGGGCGGCCTGCACTGTGTGGGCCCCTCCGCAGCAGATCAAGATGTCCTTTCACCTTGGCCTGACCTTTTCCAGTGGGGGTAATGCCAGGAGAGGGCCAGGGGCAAGTTCTTTTGCAACTTGGGGAGATGCCTTCACTGCCCGGAGTGGGATCTGGGGTGTCCTTTCTGTTACCCCAAGGACCCAAGTGTGGTTCTGAGGCACTTTGGAGTGTTCCAGAACCCAGATGAGGAAGCCTCACCCCAACCCCACCCACAAGAAGCCAGGGCATCATTTGGATGACTGTCTATGCCTCGAAATCTGCTCCCTACCCAGAGATGTGCCCCCGTCACCTACCCAGGTGTTACTCTTCCTACCCCCTTTCTGACTCCTTTCTCACACGTATCCAACCGACTTTTTCTTCCAATCCTTCCAGACTCTCTCAAATCTTCCCTCCTCTCCTCCCCAGGCCCCATCTTCTCCTGCCTGTTGTTACGTTAACCTCTCCACGTCTGGCTCTCCCCTTCTGGGCCATTCTCCAAAGAGCTAAACAAGAATGTTTTAGAAATGCAAACCCCGTGCCAGAGTTCCCCTTAATGACTCTCAATAACTTTCTAGATAAACCCCAAATTCCTAAGCAAACCAGGCCCTCTGCCCTGTGGTTCCTTCTCTCTCCCACCTGTCCACCTCTTGGACTTCGGGGTCCAGGCCCTCTGAAGTCCACCTGAAACCTCTTTCTTGGAACTCCTACACCTTTGTACCTGCTCCCTCCTCATGGAACACTCAAGCATCTCAAGCTGTTTTTTCCCTTAACTCCTGCTCAATGTTTTCATCACTCTCTTACTTCTGTTTATTTACTTAGTTATTGACCAGAAGTGTCTATTGTTTGCGGGCCATAGGCATGACACAGGACCGCTCTGCTCCGGGGACCCTGCCTTGGGATACGTTCCTCTACTCCCCATCTGAGTGCTCTTCATGTGGGCTCCCTGGCACCTGGGATGAGCACACAGGTAGTCCGTGTGTAACTGTGCATTCTGCCGGTTTCTCATATTTTATCCTCATAAATGATATTAGGGGCTTAATAAAGATATAAATGAAAATATCTAATGTGGAGCAGCAAATCCTATTTCAAAGCTATAGATCCAAGTGTGCGAATTTAAAACAGGGTTTAGTTATTCTACCATTCAACTTTGTCCTCAGCCCCCTTTCTGCCTCATGGCAGATACGCTAGCCAGTTCCAGAAACCCGCCACCTCTGTGACACTCCTCCCTCACAGTCCAGTTATGCTCCATTTATTCCATTTTCTCATCTTCACTTCTGTAGCAGGATCCATATGAGGGTGCATCTCTGACGTGTCCAGACACTGGGGGACCGAGGTGGGTCCTGGGTGGGGGGAGGCATGCTGAAGCCTCGTTGGCATCAGCTCTGTTCTTTGTTTTGCAGTTGGCATCTGTCCCTGAGCTTTCACTGAGATGAATTCTCAGCATGTTGCAGAAGACAGGAGGGAACAACCATTGAGTTCAGGGGCTGGTGGCTTCATTTATGTCCAAGGGCCCCTTCCCCCCGCAAATCCCAAACCTCAAGGCCCTACCCTGAGAAGACAGCACCTTAAGAAAGGAGGCGGTGGGTGTGCAGCAATGTATCCACCCACTTCCCACCTCCTTTCTCAAAAGTGGGGAGGGGCCCAAAGAGAGGGCAGACTTGGGAAAGGTGCCCCATTATCAGAAGAGCCCATTATCTGGAATGAGTCTTCGAATATGAGAAAAGCCCTGTGGGGTCCAGGTTGGTTGTAGGAAGTCCTGAGCATATTGCTCTTCATAATAAAGCAGGGAGGGATATTTTTGGAGTTGAAGTAGGGATGGAGTTCTGGGCATCAACAAAGGGGGTGAGTGGGGAGGGTAGAGTGAGCTGCTGACAGAATGGTCAAGGGAACATTCTTTGTCACTTCGGTGGGGTGGGCGCATCTGTCTCCCCAAACTTTCAGTAACGTAGGCTGCACCCAAATTGGAATGTTCACCCTGGAAAAGGAAGGGAGGCTCTTTCCATCCCGTGTTCAAACTCCCTTCCCCAACCTTGCCCTTGGGAAGGCTCTGGGGGAAGGCTGCCACACTTACCCAGAGCCTGCCTTCTTGGTGTGACCACTAGCCAAGGGTTCAGTGCCTGGTGCAGCAGTTTTGGAAAGCATCACCTTTGAGGAGCAGGGTCTCTTGGACAAACCTGGGGTAGGGAGGAGTCAATCCCCTCCCCCTCTCTAGGAACACGTTTGGCTCTTCAATTGGCACCTGGGGTAATCTTTATCCCAATAGACTAAAAAAGAAAAATTGTTCCCAAACTGGTCTGGGACAGAACTTTTTTGTTTGTGATGAGATTTATAATTTTCTTCTGGGAAGAAATCAGCATTCCTGATGAAATGCACAAGCAAATTTCCGATGAACTTCAATGGAGCTAAGACTGGTGGGAAGCCAGTGCCCTGCCCGCCCAGCTGACTTGAAGAAGGCAGGGGGCAGCGGGTGCACTTGCGTCTGGGGGAGGGGACATGGAAATAGCTCTTTCCTAGCTCCTCCCACAAAGAGAGGCTATCACACAAGCAGATGCCTTAGAATAACAGTAAAATATGTGGTAGAGGGTTCACTTAGTCTAAATGGACTCAGACAGAAACAGGCTTACGGCGACTATGCGGTGAGATGGGTCTTGGGAGGGAGCAGCACAACCTGATGGGTGAGGGAGCCGTGCACCATGAGTGTGACCCTCGGTTTCTTTGTCCATTCAGATGGTAGTTGCCCTGCCTCCAACCCTCGAAGATGGTGATGATGAAATAAGGCAAGGATTAGGTGGGAACATCCCTGGAAAAGTAGAAGGCAACTCAGGAATCAGGGATTTATTATTACTACCATCTGATTCAGAGATCATCTGCCCCATACCAGTGAAGCTCAAGATGCAGGTTCTACTCCGGTCTTCCTGAAATAGGTCTTCTTTTCAATGGCAAGCAATTCCCCAACCACCCGCCTTCAAACACGTCTCACCCTGTGCATTTTCTCTGTGATTGCTCCAGCTTTGAAGCCTCTGAAGTGCACGACTTCCTTCCTCCCTGCAACAGCTTCCTGAATCTCCTCCTGAGGCCTCCGCCCCAGGCCCCCCAACATTCAGACCAGCCCAGCCACTCCCCAGCAGGCCACCACTGCTCCATTTCTGGCCACGCCAAGCCACTGGAGCTGGAATTGGGAGAATGGAGCCAGTCACCTTCCCAGCCCACAGCAGTCCCTGCCTGGGACTTCTCCCCACCCCCAGCCCAGGAACGGCGAGGTCTGTCTCTGGGCTGATTATGAGATAGCTCATGGCTGTTAGGTATGCTTGAATAAGCTCTTTTGTCCCAGAGAATTTTCCCATGTCAAACATTTAGTCTGTTGTGTTATGGGTCAGTGAGCAAGGAGATAAGTCTGCATTCTTAAACAACCTTGTGAACGCAAGACATCTGTCTGAAAGGCAATCAAACAACATCTGTCACACTGTCCCCAACTTTCAAGGCACTTTCTTAAAAAACAAATCATTATTTTATGTTTTAGTTCTGGAAGAAATAAATTTTCTTTTAAAAATCCAGATATTATAGAAATGTATGTTTTCGAAGAGGAAAATCCCTCATAAATCTTTACTTCCCTTTCCCCTCCCCCAACACCAGAAAACTATTGTTAATACTTTGGTGTATACTGCTGGCATTTTTCTCCTCTATACCTACTAACATAGACAGAATTATTATTTTCACCCTCCTTTCTATCACTGGACCATAGATCTTGTTTGGCAACTTGCTTTTTAGATTTAATGCATCTTAAACTCCTTTCAGTATTAGGTTCTCTCTAATTTAATAATTGTGTAGCATTCCATTGTGTCTACGAATCATCATTTATTTCATAAGTTTCCTTCTGACAGATATTTGAAATCCAACCCCTTCTAACGCAGTTTTTCTGTTATAGAAACAACACCACATATATGTTTTTGCACAGTTGTGAAAGTGTTTCTATGAGTAAGAAAGCAGAAATTCTGGGTCAAAGGTATAAACACTTGAAATGTAGTAGGCATGGCCAGATTGACAAAGCAAGCATTGTTGTGCATTCTGTCGATTTCTTCAAGGTGGAGAATGCCACTGGGCACCTAGAGGAGTCAGTCCCAGCAAGAAGAACAGGCCGTTCATCTTGGGTTCTCTCATGAGGGTGTATCCCAGCTGCCTGAAAGGTTTGGGGCATCTTTTTGAGAGTGAAGACTAACCCAGGAGAGATCAGAGGTATAAACTATCAGTCTGGAAGGTACAGAAATCATCAGTTGAGTGAATTCCAGGAAAGGTGAAGCCTGAAAGACACAGACATTTTTTTTTTTTTGAAGATGTGATTGGGTTTATTAATATATCCCATATAGCAAGTGAAGAGATGCTCCTCTGAATGACAAGGACATTTATGAAATTGTCTGTCTGGCACCCATTCTGTCTTTTGGATGGGAGAGACCCCTTTCCAATGCCCAACTCTAGAAACTGGGGTTCCGGTGGCATCTACCTAGGTTACTATTTGCCAGCCTGGGCGGGGGTCAGTGAAAAGAATCTCTGGCTAATTAGAAGACTTCCCTAGAATTTTTTAGATGGGAAGTAAGGGGAAGAGAGGTCTTATTCCAGGTGAAGAGGTTAGAAATACTTGTCTCCAGAGGGGGCCAAGGGCCATCGTTTCTGCCCTGCAGAGACTGAAGTTGACTTCTAAATAGAAACTCAGTCAAGAGGCAAAGGAAGCTCCAGAGTCCAAGTGTTGAGTGAGGCCCCAATTCTTGTCATACCCAAGGCCCAAAGGCTTCCGGTCTCTTCCCCTACCTTTGATGTGGGCCAAAAGATTAGTTTTGCCTGTTTTTGACTGTTGTATAAACGGAGTCATACAATTTGTACTTACTTGTCCTGGTTTCCTTAGCACAACAGTACGTGAGTGAGACTCACCCATATTATTGGCCATAGCAATTTTTCACTTCAACTGCTTTATAGTATTCCAATGATCTTGAGTGCATACCCATGAATAAGATAGTTGGGCCATGTGGTAACTCTATGCTAACGCTTTGAGGAACTGCCAAATTGTTCCTCAAAGCTATCATGCCATTTTAAACTCCCACCTGAAAATATGAGGTTCCAATTTCTCCACATGCACACCTGTACTTGATATTGTCTGTTTTTTGGATCATAACCATCCCAGAGGAGGTGAAGTGGTATTCCACCACAGAATTATTTGCATTTCCATGATGGCTAATGATGCGGAGCAAGTTTTCATGTGCTCATTGGGCATTCGTATATCTTCTGTGGAGAAAAGTCTATTCCAATTCTTGGCCCATTTTAAAATTGGGTTATTTGTCTTTTAGATAGATGAGTTGTAAGAGTTCTTTAAATATTCTGGATACCAGACTCTTATCACACATATGATTTACAGATATTTTTCTCCTCTTCTGGGGCTGACTTGTGTTTTCAAAAGATCACTCTGGTTATTAATTTGACAGCAGACTGTGGGGAGGGGGCAGGGTTGGAAGCTGGGAGAACAGATAGGAGGCTAATGCAGTCACCCAGACAAGAGATAATGGTGGTCAAAATAAATTCTGACTCTCTGGGATGTAAGGCAGATCCTTGGGTCTGCTCTAAAATCTCTGTCTGGTTCTGTCCCTGGCACTGTCTTTGACTCTCCCTGGCTCTGACCTATTTATTTTTGCCTATAGTTTTGCTCACTTCCACCTGATTTCATTTTATGTCCATGTCCCCATTTCCCCTTCCATTTCTTTATGTATATTAATTTCATCTTGCCAAACTGCAGGCAGTTCTGCGCATCGTATCCTCTCTGCAGTGGGTATAAAGCATGGGAAAATAGAGATAAAGAGGTGGTAGTTTGGAAGATGGTGGACGGACTCCTGGCTTCTGTGGACTTATAGAAGTGGGGGGTCGTCCTGGCACTAGCCCTTCTGCAGTTATTTATCCGGCTCTGATTTCCGGTTCTACTTCCCG